ATCCCCTCCCCCTAGCATTAAACCCTCCACTCCCTATTAAATACTCCCAATGTATTATAGTATACCACATGATGGGAAATATTTAAGATTAGGGGAGTTGGGGGGGTTAATCTTAGGGGGAGGGGATTACCTCAGTGCCGGTGATCTTGCAACAACTGTGCGACATTTGCATAACTTGAAGGTCGGTAGAGTGGATTGTCATCAAGCCCCTCCCCCTAACAAAGAAACCTCCCATCGCACCAATTTCTAACACATGTTCCTCCAAGGCAGAGTACTACTATATTGGGAAATTCCACCAGGAGCGGGATGGGGCAGCGTTACGATTTTTGCGAACGAGGGCTAAGTAAGGGAACGCTTGCAAAGTTCAAGGCACGAGCAGGCGAGCAGCTTGGCCTAATTAGCCCAGCAGGTCTGCCAAATCGTCTTCTTTCTTCACTACAGACGCTCCACCGCCATCAGCTTTTACTGAAGGCTCTGTCTCCGCAAAGTCAGCGAATGGGTCCTCTTCTTTTTTGGTCTCTCCGTCCTGGCGGACCACCTCGTCCGCTTCCTTTTGTGCCTTCTCATCGGCCTCTTGCTTCGCCTTCTCCTCGGCTTCCTTTTGCGCCTTCTCCTCCGCTTCCTTGCGAGCCTTCTCTTCCGCCTCTTGTTTGGCCTTCTCCTCCGCTTCCTTACGGGCTTTTTCCTCGGCCTCTTGCTTGGCCTTCTCCTCGGCTTCCTTTTGTGCCTTCTCCTCCGCTTCCTTGCGCGCCTTCTCCTCCGCCTCCTGCTTGGCCTTCTCCTCAGCTTCCTTTTGTGCCTTCTCCTCCGCTTCCTTGCGCGCCTTCTCCTCCGCCTCTTGCTTGGCCTTCTCCTCTGCCTCCTTCTGGGCCTTCTCCTCCGCTTCCTTGCGGGCCTTCTCCTCCGCTTCTTGTTTGGCCTTGTCCTCCGCTTCCTTGCGGGCCTTCTCCTCCGCTTCTTGTTTGGCCTTCTCCTCCGCTTCCTTGCGCGCCTTCTCCTCCGCTTCCTGGCGAGCCTTCTCCTCCGCTTCCTTGCGGGCCTGCTCCTCCGCTTCCTTTTGCGCTTTCTCCTCCGCGTCCTTGCGGGCCTTCTCCTCTGCTGCTTGCCTGGCTTTCCCTTCAGCCTCCTTTTGGGCCTGCGCCTCTGCTTGATTGCAAGCCTTTTCCTCGGCCTCCCTTTGGGCCCGTGCTTCCGCTTCCTTGCGTGCCTTCTCCTCGGCCTCTCTTTGCACCTGTGCCTGCGCCTCTGTTTCCTTGCGGGCCCTCTCTTCGGCATCATTTTGTGCCTGCGGTGGAACTTCACTTTGAGATGGCACTGCTGAAGACATTGCAGGTGCCTGCCGAGAAAACTGACATGCATGGTTGCAAGAAGTCAGAGGAGCAGTCCACCATCCCTCCAGAATGCAACTTGACTAGCAATCTAGCATGTGGGGGCTAAAGATGTGAATTGTTGGCACTGAACAATGCAGACATCCATGATATGGAGGAAAATCCGCGAAAGCATGCACAGCTCAAGAGCTTATTGGTCATGCGTGACGTATTCACATGCGGAAACCAGGGTAGTGTGAGGGGGGACAAGATGAATGAACTCAGAGCAAGGTTTTGACATACTCTGGATTACTTCAACCTGAGGATTATGAGGGAGCGTTATTGCTATCATTCGCCCTTCTGCGGTGTATCTGCATTTGCCCTGTGCCCTCAGCCCTAAAAAAGTTACCCTCAACCATCAATTATCTACACTTGCACTACTTTGGGGAAATTACTACTAAACTGCAGGATATTTCCTGAGGTTGCGGTGAACAAGCCAGAAACCCGAAATACCAAGAAAGACTTGCCCCAGACTAAGGAGCCGATACAATCCTCTGACAGGTTGTGCTGACCACAAAACCCCTCATTTACGCGCGAAAACCCTAAACCTAAACCCTGTATTCCTGAGAACCCAAACCATCTGCAAAACAAACAGAAAGGCTGCTCCCAAACAAGCACTTCTTGTCGATTAGGGTCCTTACAGAAGCTGGTTGTTTGAGGAACGGCCATGTCATTTCGGTAACTTTGTTGCCCAGCCTCAAACCCTAAACCCCCTCAGCCCTCCACCCTAAAACCCCCAACCTCGCCCATTTGCGCAGCAGCGGGGGCTTCTGCTGTGGCGGTGGGGTAGCCTGCAGGGTTTAGGGTGTTTACGGGGCAATGGGAAAGAGCATGGCAGCTACTACCATGCTTGTGGCGTCGGGTGCTTAAATCGGAGATAAGGCAATGAGCATACGTACAGAAAGAGGAAACCACTACGGGGTCTAGGTGAGGTAGGGGTTAGGGTTTAGGGTGGGTTTAGGGTTTAGGGTGTAGGGTTTAGGGTTTAGGCCGTCTACCTGCGCAGGGCTGTGTATCCATGCGCCAATGGCGGCACCCCACTTCCAGGGATCTGTGGGTGGCGGCACATCCTGCGCCCAGCGAACTTCGTGGATGTTGCCCAAGAAGCCATCGAAGCTGGGCTTTCTTCAAAACCCCCACCCG